ATTGGAAATCTAAGAAATTGAAGTCTGAACTTAAATTGTAATGAATTTATATTACATTAGTTAAAATAAGTAAGAAAGCTCTAGTGGGGACTGCTCGATAACAAAGAATTCAATTCGTTTGTTGGTGGACTAGCTTCATGAATCTTTCAGAGCGATAACTATTTATCGACTCCGATAACTATTTATAGATTCCGATAACTATTTATCGATTTCGATACGTTTTTATCGATTGAGTTAGGGCAGCTGCATGACAAAAGCTGAATGCTACGAAACTCAATAGAACGTGCATCAATGCCAAGGTCTGATTAATATGACGCTTGTGAAAAAATGGATCCTCATTGCTCACGAAATAGACAACATAATCATACGATTCACTGAAATATAAATGTTCTTAGTTTAGGTCTTCTAGAGAATGTATGGCAGAAGCTAAGTGCTATGAGATTGCATGACAGAAGCTGAATGATATGACACTCGACGGATGGTAATCAATAGATTATTAGATTTATTGATCATAACATGCTCGTTAACGTTACCATAACTTGCTTGTTCAAGAAAAAATACCAACTCTTCTAGTGAATGTGGCAAACTAGAATGCATGCAGCTGCATGACAAAAGCTGAATGCTACGAAACTCAATAGAAGGTGTATTTATAAGACTTGTGGAAATATTGATCATAATTTGCTCGGTCAGCCCATGAATGCCTCTGAAACTGTGTGCCAATTCTTCTAGAGAATGTGACAAAAACAAAACTTGAAANAAATATATATATATATCTATTATATTATACTATATGCCGGATGTTGCATGTACTCAAGTCCTGCTTGCAATACCACAAACTCAATTCAGTCGAAACTGAACCACAAACTTCAGTCGAAATCCCTGCGCAGATATCACAGAAATTCTTTTGAATATGGCTTAAAGCTGCTTGCAGGCAGCAGTTGGGTTTAATTTATATGGACAGCAACTCGACCCGACCGGTCAAAGGTGTCGCACATAAACCATTCAATCTGACATCGCACAACTGCTGGGCACGGGACAAAGGGACGGCGAACAGACAGCTAGAGGGTATGACAATGCTCCTGCATGTTGACCGCAACCAAAACTTTCGATTTCGGTTCGTTAACGTGCAAAGTGAACACGTTTCTCGGCAATGCACGGAGTTACATATATTTGGCTTGATTTTTCTTCTTTTTTTTCTGGATTTACCACGTGGGTAACCCACGGCTGCAATTTACCAGGTTTTCATTTTTTTGGCCCGTACATTTGTCGAGTGGTGTTCTGGTGGTTGCTGTTGTTGCGGCTTCCATATTCATTTGGCGGCGGGCTGCAAATTGCGCACGAAACATGCGAGCGAGTGCAGAAAACCAATTTGTAATAAAGACTACGAATGAGAAGGACATAAAAGTGGACATGGCATGGCGAGGCCAGTCGGATTATATGGCAAGCGAAAGATGTTGACACATCACGCAGCGTCACAGACTAAGAGTGAGAGAGAGAGAGAGAGGCAAAGCGAGAGAGGGTAGTGGGAGTGAGAGTCTGAGCAGATTCTGGCATTTGAATGTTTTCAATTAACTTTATGTAGATAAATAGCCAACAACTAGCATTGATGCTCTCGGGCGCTTTAAAAGAAAAGAACAATACAAGGAAGGGAGAAAAAAATGAATGAGTGTGGCACAGTCGGAGGGCAGAAATAAAATGAAACATTGCATAACAGTAAATTACGCGCAGCGGAAATTGCATTATCAGCGTCAAAAGGCGCCAAGGACTATGGCCAGCCAGTCAGGACTATCAAGGACCAAGCCGGCACCTCTCCCCCCTCTCTCGCTCTCTCTCTCGGTTTTGGCCCTGCAGCGCTTTGGCACTTCCTGCGCGTCGAGACAATGACAACGTGCATGGGCAGGATGAGACGCAGAATGAGTTGTGATAGTAAACTTTTTGCGACGCGCATAATTACAGCTAAAAGAAAGGGAGACCCGCCCCCTCCGCCTGCTGCTGCTACTGCTCCTGCTCCTGCTCTTGATCCTTGCGCCAAGACTGATGAGCAGTTTATGACTTGACGCTTTTGCGCTGCATTTAATAATATATTTTTGCTGTCCTGTATTTGCTGGCCCTGACACTAGCTGCACATTTGTAAATAACAGTTAATAACAAAGTGGATTACTCTTGGCAGTGCAGCATTTATATGAAATTTTAATGAATTGTTAAAGCCAAGTTAACATTAGAGCGCACATGTGTGCACTCCAGACCGAAGCGTTCCCTTAACTTTCATTTCCAATAAACTTGAGTGCCGTCTCTGGCCCTCCACCCCTCCCCTCCCACACACACACAAATGGGAATTTTACGCAGCCGTGCAGGAAAGTGAGGAGGAAAAGTGCCCTTTAAAATCACTTTATTATGCATGCGTGCCAATGGCTGTGCGGACACATTTGTTACCATACGATAATTTATAAGAAAAAACGCTCTTCGCTCTCATTCTCATCGAACCGAGCGAGCCGAACCAAACCGGCGACACATTCACATTCCCGGAACGGCGCTGTCTTCGAGCGATAAAATGGCAGAGCGCCGACCGACACGCGCCTTAATCATGAAAATTCATATTGAGTGCCGGCACATGCTCGATAACGATAGCTACTCATAGGTAGATAGATGCATATACCCTATAGGTATGCTTACATATGTATGTCCGTATGTAAGTGTTGCTCTGGGCTGTCTTTGAATTAAAATTTCAAGAAATTTATAAGACACTTGCTGTCTGCAATTGATGATATACATACATAGCTGTGTGCTGGAGACTGTGTGTGTGTGTGTGTGTGTGTGGGCAGCCAACAAGTGCAGGGCTTGCCACATGCCACACGCAACACGCCCCCGCTGTCACGCCCCCACTGTCGCAGCCTTGTCATCGCACACACAAAACAGCTGCACAATTTCCGTTAAAAACTTTGCGCTCAAACTTTTTGTGTGCGACTTTTGGCAGTGGCAAAAGACAAAGCAGCACAAGAGAAAGCAGAAGCTGAATACTCTGCCTTGACACGATGAGTGACAAATGTAATGGCATAATGAATTATTAAAATATTAATTTGTACTAATAATCAAAAGATTTATTTATATACTTTTATCTATGAAAGCTTTATCATATATGTATAACAAATATTAAAAAAACAAAAAATAATGAATTATTAATGTTTATCAATAATCTAAGATGTATATTTTCATCATCTGCTGCTCAGCTAGCGGCTGGCCAAATCCAATAAGAATCCAGTTAGACTCTTCGCATGCCTAAGTTAGAGTCAGTTGGAAGTTTCCGCCGCATGCACTTCAATTGCGTCGACATTTACATGCCTGAGTCATTGGCCAAAAGACCGCATTCTGTCTCTCTTCCTCTCTTACCAAACCTCCCTCCCTCCCTCATTCTTCCCTCCCCCCACCCACTCGCTGAGCAATGTCTTACATCTGCTTTGACTCTAATAGATTTTAATCAGCCGCAGGATATGCGCCTGGACGCTGCCAAGGACAGCGACAACATGCTGCTTTTTTGGAGGCCAGCAGCAGCGACAGCTGCTGATGATGAAAATCGCCCACGGCGCACAGCTTTAATTATGCGATTTGTATAAGGCATGCATACAATCGAAACTGAATATATGTATATCCTCTAGATTTGAAATGCCCATTAAGTTTGAGCTGTGTTCTACCACCCACACGCGCAGACAATTTACGCGCAACACCTCGGGGGGGAAGAGGAAAGACGCCAGCTTCACACGCCTAATGAGGCACTCAGTGACTGCATAGACCTGTAAAAAGCTGTTGCATTTCGGTTTCAGCACTTTGACACGTTTGCCACATAAGTAGACGCTAGCTGGGCACAAACATATTTCTTTTTATTTACGTAATTGGCTGAGTGCCTGAGGGCATTTGACGCTTTGCCTCAGTTTATGGCCAGCAAAAGTGCTGCTGTTATATATAAATAAGTATATACATATATTTTAATGGCCTTATCGGTTGATATTCGTAACCGCATCCGCATCCGCATCCGCTACCRTTTCTGGCCATAAAATGACCCGCATAAATGTTGGCCAAGCATTACGCATTTAATTTTCGCCCTCTGCCAGCGAATCAAGTGTGAAATATCAGCTCCTGGACAGCTGGGCCAATAAAAGTGTCAAATGGAAATGCGTATAATGAGCATCAGAGTTCAGTTCAGCGGTTCACAGCGGTGCTGCCAGGACACCATCGTCCTGCGCTCCTCTTCTCTTAACCAATTGAATGTCAATGTCGCATCCGTTGCGCTTGACTTCTGTCCGTCGCGTCGCATCGTTAAAGTGCTTTAAAATGCAAAGTGCCATTATTTGTGTGTGCATCGTTAAATTTCATTTAAAGCAGTCAGAGTCAGCGATGATTTCGCCTTGCCTTGCCCCTGTCCCTTCCCCTTGTTTCGCCACAAACTTTCGTTTATCTTGTCATCATCATCTTTATTGGCTGCTGCTGCTGCTGTTGCTGTTGCTGCTGCTGCTGTTATCCTGCGGGCGTGTTGTGTCCATAATATCGCATGTAATTCGATAGGCCACAGATACCGGCTCACATAACGCTATCTCTTATGCCGAATCTAAAGTCTAAGACAATTCTGCAAATAAAGCTGTTAAGCTGGTAGCTGGCCAAATAAAACAAATTAAATACACCTTCCACGCCACTGAGATTTATTTAAGTATTATAAAAAAAATTACTTTTAATGAAACAGAATAGCCATGTGATTACCATGCTGCAAATGAAACCAGACGGACTGACAAACAGACGGACGGGCGGACAGACTGGTCAGATGACCAGGCAATCAACCGCAACGGTTGATGAGCCAAGGACGACTGTCTGGACGAATTATATATTATATAACTATTGAAATCTTTACCAAATAAAATCTAATAATTGCCACCCAGCCCGTATGTAAGCTTAATAAGCTAAAAAAAAAGCCAATTTTTTTAAAATAGGTAATTAAAAATATTTATATGAATTTAAACTTGAATTTCGGGTTCGGGTTCATTCTCTTTCTCCAAAAGCTTCACAGTTAGTGGAATTGCGAATACAAAACAAAGTCCCTTAAAAAAAAAGAAAAGAAATAGGAGTCAACAGCTTTCTTGGTGATCATGCAATCATATACTTACGGAAGTGATAATACATAGTTGATACGATACGATCAGTTCAACTTTAGGCAGTTCGAAAAGAACTAAAAATTTGCTTAGTACGATTTTGCCGAAAAAATATGCCATCATTGTGATTATAAACTGCAACAAATGGGAGTTAAAAAAAAAAAAAACAACAACAACAACAAATGCCGCAAATACTTGAGACTCACCTGCTGTAGCTTCAAGATGTGATTGCGATAGGTTCCATAAAAACCAGTGACAATTGGAATATACGCTACGGTATTCATTACAAGCGATACGATTAGACCTGTTTTAATTTTTTCATGGCCCTCACATAGGGTCATTACGGTAAAACTGTCGTCAAGAAAATTGCAAGCCTGCACAGATTAGAGCTACCTGAGTATTTATACCTACATTTATGAAGACTGATAAGAACTTACTGCGAAAACGATGATCACGCTCATGGCCGTATATCTCAGGGCCTCAAACTGAAAGAAACACATGCTTATATTTATTTGTATTTATATTTATGGAGCTACTGCCAAATTGTTATTTTCTCCTTCTGAAATAAGGAACACATTGAAATAGGCTACTTGGATTCTCAATAAACACAAAAGCTGAATGAAAAAGAAATGTTCATTAAAATCTGCTAGGTCTTACCACGTCAATAAGTCCATAGATGATTAATAGCTAATGTAGTGTAATTCGTCGTTCTCATGTAAAACTCAATTAATTTTGGTATTAATTCCAGATCATTCGCATTTTATTTGGTTTTTTACCTGAAGTCTCCCAAGTCGTCAATTTTTAGGTACAATGAGAAGGCAAAGATCAAACATAAAACCTAAAGGTAATTGACAAGGTATTAATATAACAATCTGTACTTCCCCTAGTTTTCTCTACTTACCGAAAAGGCTGTTTCCATGTGGTACCAGTGGTTCACCAAGGTGTAATAGAATTCGGTATCAAAGCCAACAGCTTGATCCGCAATCAATACCTTACTTATGAAGAAGGTAATCAGAGTGAATATATACTAGCGAGGATCAGGCGAACATAGTGAACTAGTGAAGCACATTAAGGGACTTAAACTTACCAGCTTTAGGGGCCATTGCTTATGAAGAAGAGCCCCAGAAATGCCCAAGAAAATGTTCAGAAATAGAACACAGTCCAGTATTATAGACACAATCAGCAGATTCCTCGCAGGGCCATCGAAATTGTTAGCAAATCGTATGCCATAAAAAAGATTACAAGTATTACATATCTAATGGAAGACAATGGTATTCAGTTACTTTCGTCCGATTCACAATTACCAACTTACCAAAACTATGAAACACAGCCCGACCGTTTGGATCTGGAGTATAAATAGTCGTAGGAAGCACATGTTTTCTGAACCAATTTATACAAATGTTGATGTTTAGTGAAAACGAAACAAAAGTCTCAGGTATGTTCGATCCTCCAGACCAACGATGCGACTAATAATATCGAGACAATCTATAGGAAAATATAAAGTAGCACAAGCATAAGCATAACAATCATAATCTCTCACACAGTCTTTTTCTCATTGATTCACTCACAGTACATATTGTGGACAGGATAAAGAATATATCTGACAATATAGACATTATCGTTGTCCTTTCCCGGTCTTGAAAGAGTATCCAAAGAATGGACTTCAATGTGAGATATACTAACAGGCAGATAGCCAACTAAAATGTACGCAAAAGATTTGTTAGATTAATCTTAAATTTAATCCTATGTGCGCTTGAAACTTGAGCTTTACAGATACCAAAGTACTCTAAATTACAAACAGCTTTCAAAACGCTAGCATGCTTAGCTTTTATGTTGTATTATATAAACTTTGAGCAATAGAGAAATTTCATATCGAGCGAGCTTTAAGCTTATTATTATTACTGATTACTTGCAAAAGCTTAATGCGCTTTGTATACTTAATCTTGGAATGCCAGCTTTATCGTGCATAGCCAAGCAAAAGCTTAGCACACAAGAAGCTTTCTACATTATTAGGGCTTTAAGTTCATTAAAAAAGCAAAGCAAATTAAGTAGCTGAGACAAAACTTCAATATGATTTTTTTTAAAAACTCTTTTAACTTTACTATGAAGGGTCTGAGCTTGTTTTGTCCAAAAAGTACTATAATTCCAATGGTTGATATAATGATCATGAATATAATTGTAGATATGCTTGAAAGGATCATACAAGCTCTGAAAAAAGTCTGATTCAAAATATATGCAATATTCACACCCACTTCGGCAATGGAAAATTGCTGTCAATAAATAGATATATAGATATATATAACTATTTAAACTTGCTAATAGAGATGTAAATGAAAATCAATACCAACAAGTGGAAATATATACAAATAAATTAATATATTTATAATTGGGTATACGAGGGACAAACTTCTGCACAATGAGCTTACCAGCAGGATGCATAGAGAGGCTATCGTAGCGATTTTAAGACATCGCCGCGTAAAACCACGGCACATGGCAGATTCTGAATAACTGTAAATATTAAGTAATATTATTAGTCTGAAAAAAATGAAAACACTGTAAACATAAGTGACAAGTATTTCAAGTGAAACATCGTTATTTACAACAGCCAGCCCACAAGATGTTCAACTGTAGTCAGCCAGGGACACATGTGCAACAACAACAACAACTAGTAGGAACATTGTTGACAATTTCCAGTTGAGCGCACAAAGCTAAAGGAGAAGACAGTATCGACTGCTGTGGAACAACCCCTACAGGGCACACGGATAGACCGCGAGTAAGTGGCTGTCCTTGCCAGTTGGGCTTGTCCTTGTCCTTGTTGGTTGTCCCTTCGCTTTGCCTGCTAAAATAATCGCCGCAATAATCTGTCAACGACAGCTGTTGATGTCATAAAAACCTTTTGAAGATGTAAAGATGTTGTCACACACACACATACAGAGAGTGAGAGAGAGAGAGAGAGAGAGAACAACAACAACAGAAGGCTAATGATAATTTGCCACAATTTACACTGAAAGCAGCCACAGCAACAGGAGCTGCCGCAACAGGAGTTGCCCCACACGCGCCAACAACTCCAGCCCCAACCAGCCGCATCTAATGGCTGGCGATAAAATCATTGATGAAGCCAAAAAGCTAATTGAATGTTAATCGCTTCACATTGACATTGCACGTGGCTGCGCCCGATAGCGGCTAAAAAGGTGAGCATTGAATTTGCATAGACTGATGATAAATCAACAGGCGGGCTGGGCTTCGAGGCTTCGCCTGTGCCCTTGCTCATTTATTTATGCCACAACAAGACGCAAATCAAATGCAAACAGGCTTTAAATTAAAATTTAAATTTTAATCTACAGCGCAGGGCCAACATAGCCGCGGGCCAAGCAATGATCCGTATCAGTTGAGAGCAGCTCAACAAGATGGCATTCAGAGGGCAGGCAGCGGTCGTTTCTTAGAGAAACCAAACTCACATCTTTTGGCTGGACCTTTGTCTGCGACTATGACATATCGCGATTGTGAATTGTCTGAGTTGCTTGGGCTCTCAGTTCTTTTCTACTTCTCCTCTGCTTCAGCTCTGTCTGGAATTTGCGTTACAACAACCTCAAAATTTGTTTATGTTGCGAGAGTTCGGGGCGAGCTGTGGAGACATCCAGAAAGGAAATTTCTTAAGAAAAAGGAAGTTTTTCTTTCAGATATATAATATATATTATTATATT